GACTCGGCATCGTAGCTCTAGCGTGCCTTCTCACTGGTTCCAAGAATGGTGCAGCTTTTCAAGTAACTGTTTGTTTATCAACTGCGGGACGCAAAGTTAGCTTGCTTCCTAATGTGGACTTGATAAGTCATGGCGACTGAAGTTAGCTGCCAGGTGGAGGTTAAATCCAAAACGCTGAACGTTCGATGATCTATTGAAACTGGTTTTACCTGATTAATGTCCACGTTCTTCACATGAGTTCACCGTTTCCTTATCATAACTGTAAGAAAATTAAAATAAATTTGACCAAATCGACGAGGGGACAGTGGGCAAGTCAATTAACTTGGAAAAGCCTATTGAGGGGTACTTCTGAACGTATATTTACAGAAAACTGGACAAAACCTATTTCCATTTAAATTCATTTTAAGGGAGAGGTAGGCAAACGCCTTTGAGCGCCCTAATGGTAATACAGTGGCTAAGAAATAGAGCAGAGAAATTTAAAAAGAGGTGGTTTACATAGTTGCAGGCGAAAAGCAAGAAGCCACTGGTTAGTCAAGAAGAGTGAATATATACAGCTACTCACTAATTACAAGTAGTCTAAAAACATATATTACTATTACTTCGAGAGCAGTACCTCGACTTACTGGCGATGCCTAATGACACAGACCAGTAAGTGGAATAAAAAGCATAAAAGGTAGAAAGGAAAAAAAACTCCCTGGACCTTTTTCGGAAATACGATTTGGGGAATTTTATGCAGAAAGAAGCTGTTGCCCATAAGGGGAAAATGTACGCGAGATAGGACCGTCCTGCTGATGGGAATGTGGGAGGCAAGGCAGGAGGAGCTTATTGCGGGCATCATCATTTGTAAACTAAGGGTCGCAACTAGGAGGGGACCGCAGAGGTCAAGAGATCGTTACCTAGCTGCCAGAGGTGCGACCATGATACGTCCTTTCTGGTTGCCGAGTCTCCCGAAAAGGGGATGAAAAATGAAGAACCCGCCACGATTCTCAACAGTCCGTTGCGGGTTGACATAAGGGCGGACATTAAAAGGCCATATATGCTATGGTCACGAGGTGCGGTAGAGGCGACGTTTGACCTGATCGTCGCATTCTGCATAGGGGCAAATACAAGGCGATCTTTGCCCAAGTATGTGGGCG